TTTAAAAAGTAAAGTATTAAAAAGTACAAATTATTTCTTGGAAGCAGACACATCAATATTTCTGCTATTACCAATATGAGATATATAAACCTCTTCTGTGCCCCTTTTCTGATTTCATTTCACTCTGTTATTGGATCCCAACATACCTGGCTTCCACCAAGTACCATCCTTGTGCTCAATAAAAATGTACTTATATGCTGCGGTGGCAGTTTCATTAGATTGTGGAGAGTCAATTTGCAGGGCTTAGCAACAAGGTTAGGGAAAGTCATGCTATAGTATTAAAGTAAAACGAAATCAGAGGGTTGCACAGATAGGGATTTTCTTGCTAATATACAGTCATAACATAAAGTAATATACAAGTCATAATGGGGAACTTATGATATGATTCAGCTTTATACCAGCAAACATTACCACATGAGGCAGCTGGCTCACTCATGCTCATGTCAGGGTGTACTGTAGACACACATGTCTTCAGTTATTAACATATTACTATGGAATAGTCACAAAGCTGACAGCATTTTTCACAATTTCCATCGTTTTTCCATCATAACAAGAAAAATCTGAACATTTACTACTCTGTGCAATGTATCTTATATCTGAACATAATGTATAGAGAAATCACATATACAAAGGCGATTCTCTCTATGCCCAGTATCAATTTTTCCAGGACAGTGGGGTTAGGCTTCAAGATCTGTGTACTTCAATTTTTGTTACTGTGGATGATTCAATAAGTCATGTTTTCTGGATAACATATGCTATAAGGATTTCTGATGGGAAAAGAGCCCTGGTGAATGCTGTTAAGCATATTAATAGAAATCAGCAAATTATTTCAAGATCACTTCACATTTATTTGACTTTGATACATAACAATTCAAATCAGTGCGTGGCCTGGAGTTCTGCATTAAGTGAACAGAATTCATATCTTAGATAGTTACCAGGTGTCACCATTGAAGGACTTTTTGTCACCTCTGGCTTTGATGACAAGTCAAAATGTTGGATTTTCTACTGCCTCGGTGACAATTGAAACAAAAGATCCAGCCCTCCCCCTCTCTTTCTCTGTGTATAT